CCAAGGATATAAAATTACAATAAATTACTGCTGGCCTATAGGAATCTAGATAGGAGGGACTAGGAGTCCAGGAGGATTCTGGGAAGGAGAAACACAGGAGAGTTCGAGATGTAACGCCATTGGGGTAGGAAGCCCGGAAACCTCTCCGGTAAGAGACATACTTAGATTAACAATTATGGGGTAATTACTTAAGGCAGAGCTAGCCAGTAAGAGACAAGCAAGGCCAACAGCTTCATAATTACTACAGCGTCTTGTGTGATTATTTGGGGACTAGAATGTGGCAGAGCCCAGGCAGCTGGGGGGGATATACCAAAGTGGCTAGCAAAGGAAATGCTTTCTCTTAACAATTAACAACTTAATCTATGACACCAGTTTTAATTTGGAAAGAGCTGTCAAAGGAGAACCGAAAGAGTCAGGCAGAGGAGGACAAGTTAGGGGCAGCAAAGGCCCTGCCTTTGAGCCTGACTCCCTGTGAGAATTCATTTTAACAGTGGTGGGGATGGAAGAATTATTTTACCAATATCTCAAAACGGACCCACAGTTCAGGTGGGGAAATTATGGATTCTCAATAAATCAATGGCTTTCTCCTTTTTCAAAATGCATAAAGTCTTTAGCAAAGACTAGACTACAAAAAGACTCTGACAGATGCAATTGTCTTCCTCACCATTGGCATCTACTACCCGAAACCAGGTGGCAAGGAAGAGTAGTGAGGCTTTGTGTGAAATGTGCAGCCATGAAGATGCTAACCAAACTCGCACAACCTGAGCAGTACTGGGTGAAATAATACAGGCTTCTTCCAACAGAGACACCACAGATCCACAAAATGGTTGTCTAATTTTTTTATTCATTTTATAGTGTTTGTTTTACAGAAATGGATACAGCAGGAGAGACAAGAGGAGGACTTCATTGCTCTGGATCTCCAGTTAGAGAATTTGAGAAGTCTCCCTCGTATGCTGACAGCTGAACTCATGGAACTGGTCCTCTGCAGGAGCCCCAACTGCTTTGGCCAACTGAGTCAAAAGTCCAGTCCTCACACACTAGGCATGGAGAGAGAAACTGTCTTCCTTCCTCTTCCTCATCTCTTGGAAGCACACATTCATGTTTGCTTTCTGATTTGGTCTAAATCCGTGATCATGTGCTCTGCTCAGTCTCATCCAGACAGGTTCCTCCAAAGAAACCCTGTTGGGATGTGCTTGGGGCCAACAACCTCACTGATTCCCCAGTATCCGACTCAACGTAGTGAAAGCAAACCAGTACAGGGTCCCAGAAGGCAGTGCTCTCCCTCCCCAAAACTGTCATTCCACATATTTCCTGGCGTATGAAAGGCCTGAGCCCCCATGCTGTCTGTCTTTCCCCAGGTTCTCTGAAAATGCTACAGTGTCCCGTAGTCTGCCCAGGTGTCCTTGGAAACAATGCCTGCTGCCGCTTATAGAATACACCTGTAGGTCAGAGCTGACAGGATCCTAAGATTGCTTGAGGCGTTTGGGAGGGTTCTCCAGTAATGAGCAGTGAGCAGAAGCCAGGGAGCTGTATGCTTCAGCCAGCAAGTGGGGATATGAGTCCACCATTGTCTTCCAGCTTGAAGTCTCAGAGACTTCAGAAGCATGAGCTGTTATGAAATCCAGCACCTGGGTTTTCAGCTGCCCTGCACTGTGGAGGTCAGCCATGACGAGAGTGTGGGCAGCAGTCTCCACGGAGAGGTCCTTGCAGAGGGCGTCCTCACACATGACCTTCAAACGCTCCAGGCCGTACTTGTCGGCAGCTGCAAGCAGTACATCTGCCATGCTGTGGAGATCCGGTGCCTTCCCGGTGTAAAGGAAGCCCATCATTGCTCTGAAGCATTGAGGCTCCAGGTCGTGGATCTCAATGCGGTTTGTTCTGCTCTCCTGCATGTCATGTTCAAACATGGCTCTGAAAACTGGAGAGCGAGCTGCTAAGATGGCCTTGTGAGCCCGGAATTCCTGGCCAGCTACCACCAGGCAGCAGTCTGTGAAGAAGGAATTCTCCCACAGCTCTCCTAGCTCATCTGCCAGAGTGCACCTTGGAACCTGGATCCCTGGCATCGTGGTCTCGTCAGAGAAGCCTAAGGAGTCTTGGGCCACAGTCACCTTGCATCTCAGGCTGAGTTCATTGTCTTCGAGCAGCCAAGGCTCCTGGGCCAAGAGGGAATGTCGAGGGATGAACTTTCTGAATCCCCACTGCTGATTTTGCTGGAACCTGAAGAATCTTGGGCTCTTCATGCCTTGTGTTTTAGCATGAGCTGTTATGAAATCCAGCACCTGGGTTTTCAGCTGCCCTGCACTGTGGAGTTCAGCCATG